TCCTCATCCTTTTTGGATATGTTTTTACCTTCACTCCTGGAAAAGGTCTGATCTGTGCTTAAACGCATTTGATAGACAAAGACGTCTTGATAAAGCCTTACTCTTGTAGCAAAAAGTATAAAGGCTGCTATTTACTTCAGGCTTACTATGTGCCAAGCATTAATCTGTCTCCTGTGCCTTTTGGTCCTTACAGTTCAATACTTGGCATTTCACATTTTACAGATGAGAAAATTGAAACCAAAAGAGATTAGTTAACTAGCTTGAAGTCATAGGGCTGATAAGTGATGGAGTTAGGATATCCAAGTCAGCTTGACTCTGTAGCCAATGCTCTTAACAATTTTTAAAAATGAAGTTCATTTATTCAACAAATCTTTTTGGGGGACCTACTAGAGACGGGCCAGAGGCCTGACAAAATATTTTTGAGATGATTACAGAAAATTCATGGGACTTATCATAGTCAGGAGCTAATGACTCTAGTATTTTTTGCACTAAATGTTTTCTTGAGATTCACTTGTATGAACAATACTGTGTCCAAATAGCACTGAAACGTCTTACACACAGTTGACTAAGATGCTGAGCCTAGGAGTCAGTACTCAAGAATTTTCCTATCTCCTTTAGTGCTCCTCAAGGTTATACTGGTGACTCAGAGTTGACTGCATTCTTACTACAGAAGTTGCATCATCCATCTCTTTCAACGGATTGTATACAAGGATTGTATTGTATACAGTATACAAGGATTTGTATACTGCTGTAACACTGACCCTTCTTTAGGTTACCTTAGTCCATTATAAAGATAGAAATCACCTTTCCACCACATTACAGCTATGTGTAATTTCAAGCAAATTTTCTGTATATACCATTGTCCATATCCATTAAAAACAGAGCTCTTAGCTTCAGCCTCACCCTTGATTGATGGAGTAATCTTTGCAACTCTACTTTTTCGGAGATTTAGAAAAGTGATATCTGGCTAACTGCTAAAGGGAATTGAGTATATTGGTGGTTGTAGTATCTTTTAAACATCAAGTATATTAGGTATGTTATATATTACAATATATTGCAAAGTGCAGTCATTTATGGATTGAATAGGAAAGTGCATAGATAAATCTAGTTTGCTGAATCGTAAATGCCAATAATAGTGTCAGTGCCAAGTTATCAATATTTAAATAAGTGCTAGACACTATGCTAAATGTTTTAAGTGCATTATCTCTTTTAATCCTTATGAAAACATTTTTTTAAACCCCTAATTTTAGGGCTAAGGAATCCAAACCTCCAAGAGGCAAAGAAACTTGCCCAGGAGATCACACAGCTGAGAAGATAGGGAGCCAGGATTTGAGCTTTGGCAGTTTAATTTTTAATTTCTATAGTCTAGGTTGTCATCCTGAGCTTCAGGTTTAGAACACTTACATATCGTTTTTAGGATATATAGTTACATAGTTTACAAGTATTTTGATACTGGGCGATAGACAAATGTAGAGTTTATCCAGTAATTTAAACCAGCTCATTTCACTTGTGCTCTTATGGGTAAGAAAATAGATTTCTATTTCCCATCTGATCTCAGAAAACTAAGCAGAGTCAGGACTGATTAGGATTGAATATTATTTAGTCCCCAAATCTTCCTTTCTGAAAGGGCATTAAAGGCATAGAGCAAGAAGGAAAAGGAAAAGTCCTATGTAATTGACAAGTTGAATGTTGACTGACAAGTTGAAGTTCTGATAATTAAGAATTTTTCACATGCTTTGTTGGAGAAAATATTCAACTAAGAGATAGGACACATGACCGTAGGAAAAAACAACCTCCCAGAGCCTCAGTTTCTTCATCTATTGAATGTCAGGGATTTCTGTCCCTGCCTGTCTTAGTGGCTTGTTTCAAGGATCAAATGAGATACTGTATGGGAAAGTTGTAGAATAGTGGTAATGCTATTATTTATCATGTAAATATACTATGAGAATAAATTTTAGAAGCTCTTCAAGAAAACCACTTCTTGAGAGTGAATTTTCAAGATTACTTTCAATGGGAAATAATAAGTTTGGTGATTACACTGAATTTGACAAAGATTTTTGGAAATGCTTTGAAAAGTGCTACATCTAATTACTCTCTTGGGGACTTCCCTGGTGGTCCAGTGGGTGAGACTTTGCGCTCCCAATGCAAGGGGCCTGGGTTCCATCCCTGGTCAGAGAACTAGATCCCACATGCATGTCTCAACTAAAGATCCCGCGGCGAATATCCCACGGTGTAGATCCTGAATGCCGCAGCTAAGACCCAGTGCAGCCAAACTTTAAAAAAAAAAAAAAACTCTCTTATATTGGCCACAAAGATGTCTTTTTTATTAAGAGACTGGGAATAATTCCTTAGCCTTCATTAAATAGGGGAGTGAAAGAAAAGTATCTCCCTAATACCTGAGCTGGGAGTAATAGGAGGTATGAATCATGTTAAGACTTTTTAGTACTTCTGAAGGTGCAATGTGCTATTCAATAAGTTTTGTCTTTACTTTTAGAAAATGAATTTAATCATTAATAGAGAAACTTTCCCGCCCTTCCCCACACACAAAAGTAACAAACAGGGCTTCCGTGGTGGCGCAATGGTTAAGAATCCGCCTGCCAATGCAGGGGACACGGGTTCGAGCCCTAGTCCGGGAAGATCCCACATGCCGCAGAGCAAGTAAGCCCGTGTGCCACAACTACTGAGCCCACGTGCTGCAGCTGCTGAAGCCCGCACACCTAGAGCCCGTGCTCCACAACAAGAGAGGCCACCACAATGAGAAGCCTGCGCACCGCAACGAGGAGTAAGCCCCACTCGCTGCAACTAGAGAAAGCCTGCGCGCAGCAACAAAGACCCAGTGCAGCCAAAAATAAATAAATTAAATAAATAAATTTTTAAAAGTAACAAAGCATTTTCTGTTTGTTATTCACGTGTTTTTTTGGAGAAAGGTATTTAGGAGGGCATGTTGTGTCAGTGTGATGGGAAAGATCATAGGGTTTGCAAGCATTAAAAACTGAGTTCCAGTTCTGGCACTAACTAGCTGTGTGACTTAGGGCAAGTCACTGAATCTCTCTGAGGCTCTGTTTACTAGTATGTAAAATGGATATAATTCTGCCTCCTCACAAAACTATTTATGATTAAGGTACTTGATTAATTGTAAAGCATTTTAATTTTATACATAAAATGTTAGTTTTAATTTTCTTCTATCTTAAGTTTTCCTTTGAAGTAAAATAAGCTACTGAGGATAAAGAGCTACCTCTGTAGCTTCTGAGTGATAATATTTGATATATGTCTTAAATTTCTAAATTTTTAAAATAGGAAATATATATACATGGTGTAAAATTCAATGGGTGCAATATACAATATACAGTGAAAATAAGTTGGCCTGCCACCCAGTCCCCAGCCCTGTTACCCTACACTAATGAAGGTTACCACTGTCACTATGTTGCCTTCTAGAGATGTTTTCTTCATATGCAATGTGTATGTGTGTATCGCTGTTTTATTTTTTAATTTTTTTATAGCCTCCCTGCTTATTTTAATTAATTAATTAATTAATATATTTTTGGCTGTGTTGGGTCTTTGTCGCTGTGCGGGCTTTCTCTAGTTGAGGTGAGCGGGAGCTACTCTTCATTGCCGTGTGTGGGCTTCTCATTGCGGTGGCTTCTCTTGTTGCAGAGCACGGGCTCTAGGCCCGGGGGCTTCAGTAGCTGTGGCTTGCGGGCTCTAGGGCACGGGCTCAGTAGTTGTGGCACACGGGCTTAGTTGCTCCGCGGCATGTGGGATCTTCCCGGATCAGGGCTCGAACCCGTGGTCCCCTGCATTGGCAGGTGGATTCTTAACCACCGCACCACCAGGGAAGTCCAAGAAGACATTGTTCTTAATTATCTGCTAAAAATTTATTTTTTAAAACCTGTCTCTTTTATATCTATATAATTCAATTGGATTTATTTATTTATTTATTTATTTTGCGGTATGCGGGCCTCTCACTGCTGTGGCCTCTCCCATTGCGGAGCACAGGCTCCAGACGCGCAGTCTCAGCGGCCATGGCTCACGGGCCCAGCCGCTCCGCGGCATGTAGGATCTTCCCGGACCGGGGCACGAACCCGTGTCCCCTGCATCGGCAGGCGGACTCTCAACTACTGCGCCACCAGGGAAGCCCTGGAATTTATTTTTTTTAATGTGTGAGTTGTATATATCGTGAGTACAATTAATTTTTTTTCCACATGGATACGCAAATATCCCAGCACCATTTTTCATAGTATTTTGTTAGCCTCTGTCTTAATTTCTATAGCTATAGAGAGCTGGCCCTTGAACAACACAGGTTTGAACTGCATGGGTCCACACATGTTTTCAATAGGAAATACTACAGTACTACACAATCTGAGGTTGGTTGAATCTGTGGATGCAGAACTGTGGATACAGAGGAACAACTGTAAGTTACATTCAGATTTTCTGCTATGCAGAGGGTTGGTGCCCCTAACCCCACACACTGGTCAAGGGTCAACTGTAATAAATTTTGATACCTGGTAGGACAAGTCCTTCCTTCCACACTACTCTTCTTCAGGAGTGTTGTTGGCTAATCTTGGTGCTTTGTATTTCCATATAAATTTTAGAATTAGCTTATAAAGTTAGCAAAACAAATTTTATTAAGTAAAAAAAGCAGGTTACTCAATAGTATGAGAGTATTACACCATTTACTTTTAAAATAAGCTTTACAAAGTATTAAGTTTCTATTTAACTTATTTCTGTATTCTAGAATTTCTTTAATTTGCATGAATTTGGCATTTAAAAATTTGTTATCAGGAGTAAACAATTTCCATTTTGAAATGACAATTTATGATTTGTCAGTATGATGAAATATGTTGCCATTAAAATTGTTGATATCTGATTTTCAAAGAGTATATAAATTGTAAGCATGTTACTTTTTTGTCTATACTTTTTGTTATTAAAAAAAATCTCTGTTTATCAGGAGCTTAACAAGCTTGAGAAACTTTGAGAACTTAACTAAATAATACAAGACTTGTCCCTGGCCTGGGTAGAGTGGCGCCTGGTTGGTGGTGCCTGTCTTATATCAGCCAGGGACAAAGTAACTCCTTGTTTATATCCCAGCTTGGCTTTTGGTTTGTGCCCATGTCTGGTTCATGCCCTGGAAACATGGAAAAAAAAAAAAAAAAAATACAAGACAATGAAAAAAATTGTCAGTGAAAGATGTAAAATGTGATTACATTAAAGATATTTCATATAATTAGTCATGGGTTAAATTCAAATACAGATAATACACAAAAGCTTTATGATCCATTAACATTACAGCTCCTATCAGTCTGGACATCCCTTGCACTGGTAGAAAAATAAGTTTTATAGTAGATTTCATTGGGCTGAAGTGTGAGTAGCATGATTTATGATCCTGTTCTACAGGAAATGATCCTCATTTCCAGTATTCTCAAGTTTTAGGCTTTTATCTGTTGTCCTCGATTTAGCCAATAATTTAAAATTCCTTGGCAAGTGTTACAAAACCATATGACTATGTGAATACACTGCCTTAAATCATAAGCTCCATCAGCTTCATAGTAAATCGACCTCTGAGTATCACTATTTCTGAACCTGCCAGTGGGGGCCAGTGCAGGACAACCAAGGGCCCAGAGCATGGAGTAGGGCTGTGACTGGAATCTTGTCCTTTACTTTCAATTGGATAGTTTAAGCGCAAAAAGGACTTTATGAAGGATATTTTGTGCCACCTGTGTATAGGACAGCTTTCATGTCTGTCTCTCTGGATTTTCCAGAGATTTAGAAAAATTTTCCCATTAAGAAATAACATATAGGGGCTTCCCTGGTGGCGCAGTGGTTGAGAGTCCGCCTGCCGATGCAGGGGTCACGGGTTCGTGTCCTGGTCCGGGAAGATCCCACATGCCGCAGAGCGGCTGGGCCCGTGAGTCATGGCCGCTGAGCCTGTGCGTCCGGAGCCTGTGCTCCACAACGGGAGAGGCCACAACAGTGAGAGGCCCGCGTAAAGCAAAAAAAAAAAAAAAAAGAAATAACATATAGTTAATTCACATGTATTTTTTGTTATTCAAAATGTGATGAGTCAACCTAAATGTCCATCAACAGGGGATGCTAAATTAACTAGGGTAGATTGTACTATGGAAATATTGTGCAAGGTTCAAAACAATGAGGTAGATTTTTATGTATCTATATGGAAAGATGCCAGGATTTACTCTTACATGAAAAAAGCGTTATAGAACATGGAACAGTATGTACAGTGTGATTCTATTTGGGTTAAACAACCCACCACCAAATCTGGGCAGATACCTATCAAATTGACAAGAGTAGCTACTGGATGGAATTGGGGGGGAATCAAGAGGAACTTTTGACTTATTTGTATTGTATACATTTTTTAAACTTTATTATTTATTTATTTTTTCTTAAAATTTTTGTATTGGAGTATAGTTGATTTACAATATTGTGTTAGACTCAGATGTACAGCAAAGTGATTTTGTTATATGTATACATACATCTATTTTTTTTCAGATTCTTTTCCCATATAGGTTATTACAGAGTATTGAATAGAGTTCCCTGTGCTATACAGTAGGTCCTTGTTGATTATCTGTTTTATATATAACACTGTGTATATGTTAATCCCCACCTCCTAGTTTATCCCTCCCCCCACCTTTCCCCTTTGGTAACTGTATGTTTTCTAAGTCTGTTTCTGTTTTGTAAATAAGTTCATTTGTATCATTTTTTAGATTCCACATTAAGTGATATCATGATATTTGTCTTTCTCTGTATGACTTACTTCACTTTGTATGACATCTCTAGGTCCATCCATGTTGTGTATTGTATACATTTTCAAGAACAAGAATTAATATATTACTTGTCAGATTGAAAATAAATTTTATAAAAGAAATTAAGAAACAAAAAACGACTAAGTTAGCCTTTAGCATTGAATGTTTGCCTGCTGTTTGAGTTTGAACTATGTCAAAGCATAACACTTGTGTTTTGCTTTATGGTAAAAAGCTTTGACCTACGGGATAGATAGGGTTGGTGACGTTTCTGTTTTACAGTTGAAAATATAGTCTCAGGGACTTCCCTGGTGGTCCAGTAGGTAAGACTCCGAGCTCCCAGTGCAGGGGGCCCAGGTTCCATCCCTGGTTGGGGAACTAGATCCTGCATGCATGCCGCAGCTAAAGAGCCAGATGCACCATGTGCCGCAGCTAAGACCCGGCGCAGCCAAAACAAACAAATAATTATTTTTTAAATTTTAAAAAATAAAAAAGAAAATACAGTCTCAGAGTTCATTCTCTGCTGTATTGGTTTCTATCCATGTTATTGCTATATTTACATATCACCTAGTTTATAATTTAATTGACTCAGATTAGACACTAAGATTAATCTTTGCACAAGCTGTAGCTATCTACACCTAAGTATGTACTGGTTCAAATTAATTCATTTCCCAAACTGTGTGCCAAATAGATTAAAAAAATTGCACATAGATGAAGTCCTTGTTTTTCTCCCTTTCATCTTGCTCTCCCTCTTCCTAATCTTTATTTTTTTCTGGATATGGCCCTGCTTTTCTTTCTGGTATGGTTTGCTCTCAATTAACTGTCATATTTCTTTCCTAAGTATAGATGCATAATAACTTAAATGTTACTTTTCCCAGGGGCATGTGCTTTTTAATTAGGATCTCTTGAGGACAGGCTCCAAATTCAAACGAATGCAGGTATTGGACTAGATGATCTCTGATACTCAGCTCTAACATCCAGGATTCAATGTTTCTAACACTAAGGATGACATTTCAGGGGGCTTTCATGGATGTGAGGAAAAAATATTTTTGTCCAGAAATACTTGCCAAAGACCCCGAAATCACTTGGCATAGCACCTGCTTTCTTTTCTTACCTCCAAGACTGGCTGTGCACAAATGAAGGAAAGAACATTAAAAAAAATTCTGAGTATGTCACTGCTCTCTGCTTCTGTGGCAGAGTGGTCTGCAGAGTATGAGGTTGAGCGTGTGAAGAACTGAGCTCTGATCAAGATCTGGTACGAATTCTGTGACTATGGACAAGCAATTTCATATCCCTGTATGTCAAGGAAGGCTGAATGATATAGTGGAAGGAAAAAGGCTTTGGCCATGGTTTACTGTTTATTCATCCCATTCATTTTTTTTTAAAGAAGATATATATTACATCCTAGGTAGTATGGCAGGTTCCAGAGAGACAGTGGTGAATAAGACAGGGTTCTCTGCCCTCAAGGAGTACTATTTATTGAGTGTCCTTTCACCTCTTGAGTTCACTTTCCCCTGTGTAAAAGGCGTTGAGAAAAATACTTCATATTCTACAAGATTTACTGTTGTTGTGATCATTGTTCTAATGTGCAGGTTGTGTTCCTTGGATGCGCTGGCTGGAAAAAAAGATTGAGAACAACTTACCTAGTTCAAGCTCTTCATTTGTAGGTTGACAGAGAAGGGCTCAGAACAACTAATTGACCATCCCAGTGCCCTTTTTACTTACTACATACAGTGCGGTTTTTTCACAACCCTCAAGAGCTTTTTGCAACTTTGGGGGCCCTTTCCTTTCCCCTTAACCTGGCCTGTGTGGTCCAGCCCATTTATAGTACTGTACTCAGTGTTAAGTGAGAGCAAACTGCTCAGGCTGGGTTCTTCCTTAGCAATCGTCACATGCCATTTCTTTCTTCAAATCCAACCATTCAGTAACTCCCAAGTGTTAACTTCCTTCTTAAAGTCTTGGCCACTCAATTTGATGAAGACTTTCGCCAGGAATCTGGAGTACTTTGCACCTTAGCTTATTATTATGATCCTTAATCTGTGTTAATTATCCTTTTACCCTAAATTGTAAACCATATCCTGTTGCTTTTTTCATTCCCTTGTTGCTTTGGACAATGTTTTATAACAGAGCTGAGGAATAATCTTTGATCTGGTGGAATTCTTGATTCAGTTGAATGGCAATATGATAGCAATAATACCTGACCAGTTTACCATAGAATGCTCTTGTGGTAATAAAACAAGGCTATAAATCTGAGGCAAATTTTGACAATTTTTAAAGATAATACATCAAGGAGGATGACTGAATGGAAAGCAGTCTGGGAGCTGAATCAAATCTGAACTTGTTGCAAAACTGACGCCTTTTTTTTTTTTTTTTTTGGTCTGGAGACTCCTAGTGTTGGACGATATAATCATTGTGTTCAATTTTTTGAAAGACTATCAAGTGCAAAACATTCTATATTGCTCCAGGCAGCATAACAACTAGCAATGGAAGAAAGTAAAAGGGAAGTAGATTTTGTTCAGCAGAAGAACTTTCTAACATTTAATGCTGCCCAACAGTTGACCAGGCCTCCTTATTTAAGGAAGTGAGCACCCTGAAATTTGAACTGTTTGAAAGAGAAGTTGGATGACTATCTGGCTGGAGTTCCTGCCTGGGCCGGAGGTGGACTAATGACCTTTAAGCTGTCTTCCAATTCTAAGGTTTCTAGGACTGTTCAGCTCAGTTAACTTTATATTTGAATATATATGAATTGTTTTTATAAAAAATTTTGTATTAGATAAATTGTCAATCGACCTAAAAAACTGTATGGTCAAGTAAAATTTGATAAAAGGAGTGGGAAATCAGATTTAAGACTGAAAATCCAGATAACACAAAGGCAATTAATGACCCTTTTGACAGAAAGGAAGAAGAGTGGTGTATGGGTGTGTGTGTTTCAAATGATGTGTTCTGGCCAAGTGACACTTGTTATCTAAAACATAAATGCTCTAAATTGTTTTACTTTACACATACTTGCTCAGCCGGATTATTCACATCCAGCAGTACCGTACGCGGAAGCAAGGGCGAGTGTTTGGTGAACAATTTTCCGGAAGCCGTTTCGCGGTACCCCAGTAGCTCAAGACGGCTCCAGCCTGCAGCGGACTTGGGTGGTAAAAGCGGAAGAGGCACCGCTGGCTGCCGGCCTGAACTACTAGTCCCAGGGGCCCCCGCGGCGCCGCGCCGCGCACGCGCCATGGCGTGGCGGCAGCGCCGCCGCAGGACGCAGGGAAGCCAACTAGCGAGTGGCGGCGGTGGTGGCGGTGGCGGCGGCGGCGGCGGCGGCGGCGGTGGCGGTGGCAGTTCGCCGCGAGGGCAACGGCTCCGAGGCCAAGTGGCGGTCCTGCGCAGA